AATAAGAAACTTTAAATGGCTCCTATTAAAACCCGAGATCCATTTATTTTCCTGTGAAGTGTTTGCATTCAGGGCATTTATCTGTGAGAAGACACTGGATATAATTGTATCCCTTTTAAACACCCAGCTCACGGACCACAGTATGTAGTCACCCCGTGCCTAGAAAGATGGGTACAGCTAAGGCCCCTGAAGGAATATTACTGCAACCCATAATCTGGGGTTGTGGGCCCAGCAAACTGGAGGTTTCTACAGACCATACTTGTGCTTTCGCATTGTGGTTATAAAGGGCCTCTCTTCTTCTTTTCCCCCGTGGTTCCTTTTTGTGCACTATTTATATCCTGTTTGAATTGTTGAAGCCTTTGGTACTTGTGGTTGGAACATGTAACAGGGTAAACTCTAAAAATCTCCATGGTGAGAAATCATATCAAGGTGGGACTGATCAGCCAGGATGCCCAAACCATAGTGACAGGTTTATGCTTTCATATAGGATATCGGAACCTTCTGATTATAGAATGGAGTTTAAACAGGACTCAGGTTTTCTTTTAAATATATTTCACTGAATTCATGAGTATTTTCTCATGAAGTTTCTCGAATGCATCTTTTTTTTGCAGAAACTGCATGCTTTAGTCCCCTTTAGGAACTGAACTCTGTATCATAATTTCTTCTAAATTTTATTTTTTTTTAAAGATTTTTTTTTTTTTATTCATGAGAACAGAGCGAGAGAGAAAGGCAGAGGGAGAAGCAGGCTCCCAAGGAGCAGGGAGCCCGATGCGGGACTCGATCCCAGGACCCTGAGATCATGACCTGAGCCGAAGGCAGACGCTTAACCATCTGAGCCACCCAGGCGCTCTCTTCTAAATTTTAATTGGCCATTGGTGTATATAAATACAGATGTATTCCAAATTCATTTAAAACTTAGAAAAAATTTATTGGATGGAGCTCAAGGAGAGAGTAGGACGATGTAATAGCAAAAGGCAATGGCAAATACAAAATGTAATATTGATATTACAGATTAGTCACATTAATACTTTTATTTGCAGAGAATGTTCTTTGACCTTACAATGATTGTTCAAATGACTATACTTTGAAGTTCTGTTTCGAAGTCCTGAGGATCGAGGACAGGATGGGGTAAAGGTCTATAGAGAGCTTGGAACTGGAGCCTTGTGCTCTTGTGGCAACAGCAGGCGGCAAAACGCTGTGTATTGTCTGTTTGGCGTCTGGGCCTCATTGTGCCCATATGTGTGATGACAGGGTGGATTCATCCCTCAAGGGGCCTTCCTGTCTGTCACCCCTAGGCCTCTTCCTCTCAAAGGCTTGCCCTGGAATTCTTCTACTGAAGAACATATTTAATAACATCGGAATGTAGTTCATTCTCTTCTCAACTTATTTTTCTGTGTGTCATAGGCATTTTTTAAAGTAAAGATGGCTGAAACCTAATGTTTTGACCAGTTCTCCTTTATTTCAGATTACTGTCTTCATCTGTTCTTTCTTTGCTGAGCACGTTTTTCCTTTTTATAGACTGAATTTTCTCTTGCTCAATATATATCCTTTATAGATAACATAAAATTATATCCATAGAATTATATAATCAGTTACATATAATTGAGGGGTTAAAAAAATGAATCTAGAAACACTCTAAAAAATCACATCATTTGTTTCTTCTTTGCTGAATATTGTGAAGGAAGAGGGATGTTGGTATTACAGCTGCTTTTTTTTAACAGGAGACTGGATATCGAGTCCATAACTCTATTTCCATCTGATGTAGTTGTAGCCTGGACTTTCTCATGAAAGCATACAGCCACATGGCTGGAATAGCTGATTGATATCTACGTTGGTCTAGTTTCTGTGAAGTATTATGCAAGATTCAGTGATGTGTCATATCCAAATGAAAATCTCTCCGTTTTCTGTAAAATAAGCTTATGAAGTGATTTCAGAAAGTATTATCTCAGTGATGCTTCTCCAAAAAAATTCCATGCAACACATTCTCCAGCTTTTCAGTGTCCTAGAGATGAGCCGTCTGGTATTTAGGAGTACAAGTGTCTTAAAGGAGGTATGGGAAGGCATCAAATATTGATGTATTTGGGCCTGTGTTCAAATCTGTTGTTGTTACACACAAAAAAGTGGGAAAAGTCATATGAATTGAATTGAATGTTATGTTAGATGTATGTAGGATTGGGTAATTAAAGAGTTCCAAGTCATCCTTAATGTGTGATTTCTTTTTCACTTAATCAGAATCCTCCTATAGGTTTATTTAAAGTAGATTGTGTTTCTTATTTACTTTGTAAGCATTGAATGGATAAAATTTTTCATGTTTTGTTTTTTCTTTTTCTTTTCTCTTTTTCCCTCCTTGTCCCTCCTTCCCTCCCTCCCTCCTTTCTTTCTTGACAAAGAAAATCGAGAAAATCCAATCCTTAAATCATCTGCTTGATGAAGGAAGCAAAACAAAGACAACTGGAGATAATGTGATTGATGGACAAAAGCTAAAGCAAATGGCTGGGCTTTTCTTTTTCTTTTTCTTTTTTTTTTTTTTTTTGGTTAATGAATGGAAAAGAGACACATAATGGCAGCTGATGTTGATAAACTTTCCATATTTGAAATTAGATTCCCTAGGAGGTATACTATGTATTTCTTGAGTAATAATGTGGTTACAGAATTCCAATGTCATAGTGAAGTGCAATGAAAAACAACTTTAGCTATACGCTTTTAGCCCTGCTGCAGAAGAGACCAGTCTCCATTCATCTGTGCAGGAAACCATCTATTTAACTGTTCTAGAGTTTTAGCACTCAAAAATTATATGGAAGTCCAAATCAACTGAAATTGCTTTAGCTAATCACTTGGAAGGGCCTGGGGAGTAAGAAGGACATTGCATCTTCTCACAAATCTCCAAGCCCAATTAAAAAGTCACACTGAAAAGGGTATGAACAGCAGTTTATCAGTCCTATGATGGTGGTGACAGTGTTGTAACTGGACATTCTGAAATTTCAATTTGGCAATGAAAATTCTACCAAGGTTTCTGATAACTTGTAGCTTACAACTACCTTAAAAATAATAGATCGATGATTTCATTTCCTAGAAGAATTTATTTTATAAGTACTTTGTTTACATTGTAGATTGTATTTGTCCTTAATTTAAAATGATGAATCTAGTTTGAATCAGCTGTTACTCCAAGCTATCATGCTTAAGCTATGTCAACAGCATTTATTTGTACTAATGCTAATATTTCCATAAAAATTTGCCTGTGGAACATATACAATTCTTAATTTTAAAATGTCAGTTCTTGAGATATACTGTATGAAGCTATTGTCAGCTTCTCCATTTCAAAATGCAATCAGCATATAACTATATTGATATTAGAAAATATTTGTTTTTTAAAATATATTGATGTATGATAAAGATGATCTAATTTGTGAATGCATATGCGTGTGTGGTTACTTTTTATAATGTGAAATAATGAATAATGAATTTACTCAAAATAAAACATAGGTTAATGAGATACCAGTGTTTGTGAAAAAAGTTTTAAATACTTTCTTGCAGCTTTTATTCTACAGTTAACGAGTAAGACAGTTCATTTTTAAGTAATGAACGAGCAACACACCAGCATCAACTATAAATTATTCAGGGGACAGCTACTCAGCGTGAGACTTGGTCCAAGATATGTGTTTCCCCTTTGCCTTTCATATGGCCTCTTCTGGGCTATTTTTAGTGATTCTTAGTATCTTTCATTTAAGGACAAAGAAATGGAATTGTTGAACTTCTCATTTGGTCAGTAGTTAAAACTGTGTCGATTTGAGAGACTGGACAATATGGGCTCAGTGAATTCAGTATTCTTTGTGGATTTTATGTAACTCAGCATCACTCTCATGGAACTGAGGGCACGATTAGGAGAGAATGTGTGCGGTGCATAATGGGACATCCAGCACTTTGCTTCATACTCAGCATTGACTCTGTTGCTTTAAATAAAATGGAGAATTTCAGTTTATTTGTTCAATAATAACTAATGATAATAATAGCAGAGTTAGGGGCTTTATTTTCCATCGTGTGCGCAGGGAAGAGTAAAGTGCTTTGTCACCAGGGCGCATAGAGTTCAGGAGTACGTGCAAGTCAGCTGTGGTCTTGTTCCTACTCAGTTGGAACAGGTCTCGTTCCTGTCAATTAAGACGATTAATCAACATTACTTTCGGGAGTTTTCTTTTTTTTTCCCCCACAGAGCATGATTTCTAAAACTGTTGACCTGTTTGCTAAGATTATACTTCCAAGCACGGATATATAAAAACAGTAAAAAACAAATTGGTGACAGTTATGAATATCTGCGTATATCTCAATTTACACCAGAAGCAAGATTGATACTCTCAGTAAAAGTTCTCCGTGTAACAACTCACCAGATAGATCCTTTAAAATAGTTATGTGGCATTTGCCACCACAGTGAAATAGGGATGGCTGGCTCCTTTATCTTCTTGTTAATTATGAAGACTTGCATTTTTAAGGACAGGTTCTAGAATGTCTCCAGTTCACATTACAAGTGAAATAACAGACCCTGTAGAACTCCGTTTTCCTGGCCGAAACGGAGATCGGGCCAAAAAGGATTTTACTAATAAGCAAGAAGAGCATATGGAGTCTTGCTGATAGAACCTCGTACACGTTCAAACTCATTTCCATTATTTGACTTGCTGCGTTGAGACGTCTTATTCTGGAAGGATGGCTCCATGAGCCCTGCAGTCTGTGGGCATGTGTGAGGTACTCAAACTGAAGTCGACCAGACTCTTCAGCTTGAGTAGGAGTTTTGCAGTGAAGATAAAATGAATTGGACCAACTCAGTGATCTGTTGTCAGTTTTTGCAGCGCGTGTGACTGTGTGAGTGTGGGTGAGTGTATGTGTTTGTGTCTATGTGAGAACAGTTTTTAAACCTGACACTTAAATATAGTGAAGACTTGTTGCAATGTTCAGACTTCGCCCCCTCAGTTGAAACCTTGAATTTTTTTGGTAAGATCTATTACATTTTTCATTAGTCTGCCTTTTTTCATCACACATAGATATACTTAGAAAAGCTGAAACCTGGGGTCTTAGGGACTTCTTCAATCATGTGTGGGGGGATTACTTTTTTCTTTTTTTTCATATCACTGTTTCCAAAGCAGGTGTTTTGTTTTGTTTTGTTTTTTAATTTTATTTTATTATGTTATGTTAATCACCATACAATACATCATTAGTTTTTGGTGTAGTGATCCACGATTCATTGTTTTCGTATAACATAAAAAAAAGTTTCTTAAAGCAGGGAATATTGCCATTTCCTGCCTCCAAGGGCAATGTGTTAGATATAATTTTATGTGCTGTCCTTGTTCTCCATGCACATGGGGAGGGGAGGGTCAAGTTGGATCTGCACAGTCTAGGAGTCCTTCAATACAATGAAGCTTTTTATAGCTGGGTTTGGCCATATTTGTTTCAGAGGATATTATGGTCTCATAGACTTTTCTAGATTTCATCTCTTCAAGGTGGATGATTAGAACTCTCTTTTATTTCCCTTTCCACTCTTTTTCCACAAACACACTTGACTGTTGGAATACTAACAAGTCAGTTAAGAATGTCGATTGGACTTAGTACTTGATGTTTGCCTCGTCCTAGGTCCTAGCATTGTCAGCCAGTGCTCATGGAAGGAATTCAGGAATGAAGTAACATGCAGATTTTAGAATGGCGAAAAGTCAGTCTTTAGACTGCTACTTAATAGTATTACCTTAAGTACGATTCACGTTACTCTGATTTATATTCATAATCAAGATGACTAATAAATTCGCTTTAGGTATATTTAAACATTGGATAGCAAACAGAAATCCAATTAGGCATTTAGGCAACATATTTGACACTCCCAATTAGCTAGCTCCATCCATGGTTCTCTGAATTTGCTCCTGAAATATTTTCTTGTCTCTATAACAGAAAATGACTAAGAAAATTTCAGAGGTATTTGCTATTTCCCTTTTAACCCTGGGACAAAGCCCATGCTTATGTTCTTTTTAAGTGAAGTGGGTAACAGAGGGACGTGCATGGTGCCTGTATATTTAGATGGATGTTTTAGGTAGAAGGGAGAAAGAGTGAAAGGGGCCAGGGGGCCGGGGTCAGGCCCCACCACGTGGGGTGACCTTGGGCAAACGTTCTCCTTTCTCTGAAATGAGATTTTTGCCTTAAAGGCAAAAGTGCCTGGGGCCTGTGAATGTCCTCATGACCCACGACCCGGTCTGTGTCCCCCAGTTCTTTCTTGTGCGTGAAATGAAGGTATTGAACTCGATCTGCGGCTCAGTTAATGCCTGTCAAAGGATCTGCTGTACCACGGAGAAGCCAGGGCTGCCCCAAGGCTGGGGCCGCGGTCAGGACTGCCTACAGCTGTTTTCTTCTAATTTTAGTCAGCAAGAAATGGTTCTGTAACAGATTAAAATAAAACACTTCCTTTGCTCCAGAGGAAAGTTAAGAGAGTGAAGCACATGACTCATGAACAATGTGTCTTCCTCCCAAAGGCTTCCTCTTGAAATAGGGTTCTGATCTACCATTTTTTTAAAGTCCAAATCCGTGAGTAACAGAGAAAGGTAAAGATATTCTACCAAGCTAGTCTTAAGTTAATAACAAAGGCTCTGAGAAACAGGCTTAAAAGTACCAGACAGATGGTACAGACCTCTCCTTAAAATAGTGTGAATTTAATAGTCGGATTTGTCTGAGAATGGCTCAGACCAGCAGAGGACAAGGGGGACACTCTTCTTCGGCCACCCCGGGCCACCAGACTCAGCCTCGGCTGGAGCACTAAGTACTTAAGCATGTCGTAAATCAGAGGAGAGCTGGAGTCACCACGCTGCCCAGAAATAGAAACGTTCTAGAGGTTTCTTTATACATCATGAAGTGAAATGTCTGGTCCACTTGGTTGATGGGAGGCATGGAATAAGCAATGATTTCCTGCAGGGTTCCCACCACTGCCTCCACTTTTTGTTTGTTTTTTTTTTTTATCATCCTCCATTACTGCTCTGGGTAAAACCTAGAAAAGGAAATAATGTGGAAGACCATTTATGGGGCAGTGGTGAGGAGGGAATTAATTGGGCCCCTTGACATTTTTTGCTATGGTCCAACCCATGGGGCCATCCACGATCCTGGGATTTAAAGAAACAGGCTCACGATCCTGGGATTTAAAGAAACAGGCTCATCTGTGCTGAGAGGAAGGGTCTGAGGTTGTACCAGGCACTGCCTTAGGAGCCCGAGACAGTACCAGGGGACCCCAGACCACATTGTGGGTGTGGACCCAGGGGACTCAGCCTAGCCCGTGCATGCACACACGCAGCAAATCAAATACTTTGGGCTTTGTGCTACTGATTCTCGAGCGAGCTGATGCTCCTCCCCCCACCCCGCAGAAGGTTTCCACACTGCCTGGGACCCCTGAATACTTTGACCTTCTTTTTGGCAGGCACAGTGGGGGCAGGGGCCTGGTTACTCTCCTGTAGAAGCTTCCCCAGTCACTCATACTGCTCTGAGGCTGTGCCTCGGGTCCCTGAAGTCTCCCTGGACCCTGGGGTGCCTGGACTCAGGCTGCTCATCATGTTTGGCAGGCCCTCTTGTCCAGAACCCTCATGTGATGCAAATGATGTACCGACATAATTTTTATAAGAGGAGATCATGGGAAGGAACATCTGTGTCCCAACACCTGGGAATTCTCTCATTTTGTGGAGTGAAAATTTATTTTCCAGAGTAAATGGTGGGGGGCGGGGGAGAATATTTAATGGTTTGCAATTTAAACTGTAAAACAGCACATTTCTTCATTTTTAGACGTGTTTACAGCAGAAATTCTTTCAGGTGCTGGTGTGCAGGATGGTCATGTTTATTTGCCTGACTTTCCCTGAGCTGGTAAAGCCGGATGGCAGGCCATGGTTACCCCGCCGGGTCCTGCTTCAGTGGGTGCCTTTTTAAATCTCTGTCAGCTTTGGAAAATGCAACTGTATGGGGAAAACAGGAATCAGACTTCATAGCTCAGACGTCGCCGCCATTTGGAAATGTCGGAACGTCTTCTTGGTTGTAGTAATGATGGGGCGCTCTTGCTAGCATTAGTACCCAGAGGCTGGGCACGCTCACCAGCTCCCCCGGATGCACAGGACTGCTCTGGACAGCGGATGACTTCTTCCCCTCCAAACCAGTAGGGCTTTGGCTTGAGAAAGTGGATTTGCTGAGGGATTCCATGCGGAAGATGACTAACCTTGCTCTTAGTAGCTTCAGAGGCAGAACTAAGGCCAAGGAGTCTGCATTGGTTAGGGAGGAATTACAGGGAGGGGTGGGTATATAAGAAAAACAATTGTAGCCATTTGTGGATTGAGCTGCTTTTCAAGGAATTGGTGAGTTCTCTGTCATTGGAAGCACTGAAAGAAAGAACGAGGGGCCTGTTTTGTAGGGATATTCCAGAGGGGACTTCCACAAGGGGAGGGAAATTGGGCCAGGAGACCTCTGGGGGATTCTTTCATCTTAAAAGTGGTGTCA